GTTGGCGCATACGGTGACTGAAATTTCACCTCACAGCCACTACACTTCTACTTCTACATATTATCACTGACTGAGTGAATGAATGAATGAATGACTGGCTGCTTGCAGGCCTGACTAACTAACTGTCTGCCTGCTTGGCTCTGCATGTATGCAGCACCACTGTTTTCTCCAACACGAATAGGAACAAAATTTTGTTTGACTTAGTTGGTATATTCATAATACTTTGGTGGAGGAGAAGATGTTGAAGTGACGGTGTAAAATGTTCAAGTCTTAAATGGTGCTGTTTTCGTTGCCGATCTCGTTGCTGTTGTTGTTGTTGTGTTGGGAATTCCTTTTGGAAAATCAAACCAAGTGTTTTGCGAGTTATTAGCGAGTTAAGACCAAGTGTTCGATAGAGATAGATTGTTCATTTGTTTATTCGTGTCGTATTTGTACTTCTTTTTTTTTTTATTCGGTAATCAAAATGAAATTTCTTAGATCTATGGCATTTATGTGGCGGCAACGTCAGCAAACGCTTATTATTATATACATATGTACGATATTTTACTATAAAGTTTTTCTTACAAACAAACGACAATAAAGAAAGAAAAACCATCAGTTCAGCTGTGCAAATTCAATCCAGCAACATAATGCAATATTAAAGTGCAGAGTGTTTTGTATAAGTAACCGGGGAGAAGAAATGTAATAAAAAAAGGTTTCAAGCAACTGATTTGTCATACTGACTGACGATTCCGAATAGGAATAAAACAATTGCACTGTTGGTAGTGGTGGCAAGATGGTGTGTAAGTATGAGAGTGGCAAACAATAATAGAGCCTGTAACGGTGGCAACTGATTTCGTTTCGGTCGATATATGTATGTGTTGTGCCTGCTCTTTTTGCCCCTGACTGACTGACTGGGTGCCAAGCCGACTCCTAGAGCAAGAAGGCCCAAAACTAATCATTGTTGTAAAACATTTAGCATTGATAGGTGTGCAGCATTTATTTGATCGTGTGTGTGATTTGTTGTGATTTGCAAAATTTTCTTTAAAAGGTTTGTTTTTCAACTATTCGTTTTTCTTTAAATAGGAAATCATTGCAATCATACACATACTGATCAAAACATGTTAAATGTAATTTTATGTTTGTTCAATGATTAGTTGAAATTTATGTAATTGAGGTTTGGTTTTTGGTTGCTCATACGAGAAAATAAGAGTTTGCTTGCTTGTTGTTTTTGGTGTCTAATTTTTGTAACATTTATTATTGTTCCTCAACGGAAGGTATTATGGGAATTGAAGTAAATCAGCTGCAAGGTATTATTTATAATACAATGGAAGAATGTTTTAAACGAAATGTTGAAAGGGCTTTTGGAAAGGTTTAAATGTATGTTAAATTTTACTAATTATGTTTAAGTTTAATTGTTTTTTTATTAGCCGAATGACTTTGAAGAAAGATAAAAACTTCTTAACATGGATCAAGAAAATTTTCCAAAATATCCTGTGCCAAGGCTTTTTATGACAAACTAATATAGCTATGATATAGATAAAATCTTATTACCAGATCATATTGACAAAATAACTTCCCAGCTAGCAATTTTTGAAATTTTTTATCATATTTGAGTCATTTTTGACTCTTCTACACGATTAAAAAGATCATATATGCTCTTATTTTCTTATAATATTGGATCAATTATGGAAAGAAGTTTCATGGATTTGAATTGCTAAAGCATTAGTCATTTTCTAATGGAGACTTCATATGAGAGGTAGGATCACTTATAGACCGATTCCCATGAAGTTCAGTTAAAAAATTTATGTTTTTATAAAACTTGGGCAATTATGGTCCGATCCTCATAAAATTTTGTAGAGAGATTTTGGTTCGTACAAAACTTATTTATGTCGAATTTCATAGCTTTACTTTAAAAGAATTATAGCAACTGTTTTTCAAGGGGTCATTTGTATAGGGGCTATAGGAGAACGTGGATCGATTTTGCCCATTTTCAATACCAAACAAACCTATGGAGAATACTTTTGCTAAATTTCAACTTTCTATCTCTTTACGTTAGGACCTTATCGCTTTCAATAGACATACAGACACACGGACGGATGAACGGACTTGGGTAGATCGTTTTTGAATTCAATAAGGACCCAGAATATACATATATATATGTATATACACTTTTGTGGTTCTATAATTAATATTTCTAGGTATTATAAACGGAATGACAAAATCAAAATCATGTTTATTAATGGTGGATACAAATATAATAAATGCGAATAATCTAGTTGTTTCATTATTATGAAAAATTATAAATTTGATCAAAATTTTAAATTTATAAGACCTTTACAAACAATTTTATTTTCTTTAGAGCTAAATCAAAATAACGGATATTAAATGCGACATCTTTTGCTACTAACTGGCAAACCATTATCGTTTTACTACTCACTACTAGATGTCATACATAGTGACTAAAATATGGCAACATTAATCAAAAACCACACACAGCTGTGGTTTGTTTTTTGTTTATTTTTACCCAATAAACATAGTTAAACAAAAAACAACTGAACACAAACTGAAGAAACACAAGTTTAAAATATAAGTTCTATTTTCAAAACATTAGCCGTAGAAATAAAGTTATAGACAAACCTTACAAAATTCTTAAACTGTCAATATAAAGTTACGATAAAATAACTAAACATAGATTAATATCTTCAAATATATTTGAAGAAAATTTCAAGTTTAAATACATAATTTCAAAATTTATTAATTTTATAAAATTTTTCAAATTTTTAACTTCAACAGTTTTATTAAGAGTTTAGCACAGAATAAGGAAATGGTATGCAGGAAATGCAAAAAAATTATAATTTACCGGATATTTAAAAATTTTTCTTATGTTCCGTATAGCATTGCTTATCCCATAAATAATATGGCAATATTTGTTAATACATTACGCTGTTAAAAAAAAAAAAACAATTGACAGCTGATCTTTATTTACTTTTGAGAAAGACAATAACAAAACAAAAACAGCATCTTTTAAAATTATTTGTCTTAATATTTTTATTACGGTTTTCCATTAAAACTTCCTTCTTAAACAAATCACATGAACAAAGTTTTCAAAACTTGACACTTCAATCTATTTTGAATTCGGTTTTCCTTTAAAACTTTCTTTTTAAACAAACCACCTGCACAAAGTTACCAAAACTTGACTATTCAATCTATAAACTCTTGTCATCTGCCAGGCATAATTGTCGGCAACATTTGATAACATTTTTAACATTATTTGAAACTATTTATCTTTTATGACAAAAAGTCAAGAAGTTTTAAAGATGTTCTTATAGATATTTACCAAATATAAAACTCACGTTTGGGATTTTAGTTAACAGTTTAAGCCGGCAGCCACAGATTTACCGTGATCTACGGCCCTTAACTTTTAAGGATTTTACAATGACAATACATACTAAACAAAACTCATGCCTCCTTTTTTAAGATTTTAGTAAACAATTTTTGCCGGCTGCCACATATTTACTGTAACCCTTTCTATCTGTCCGGTAAGTGGTCAACTGCAGCAGACTTGTCGTGAATTACTGCATACAATAATTCTTCTTAAGGAATGTTTGTTTGTACAATTGACAAGCACTTGCTATCTGTTCGGCAAGATTTACCAGAAACATTTGCTATAATTCTTCTTAAGGAAAGTTTGAAAACAATTGACTTAGCTCACTTAGATTGAAATAAAACAAAGTTTCCAAAACTTGCATTGTAATCTATAAACTCTTGCAAGATTGTCGGCAAGATTTAATCATGGTAAAAAAAATATTAGAAGGTAGTTCCAATTTCTATTTATGTCTGTATTAACCAAACCATCTGACAAGAAGTCAAGAAGTTGTAAAGATGATATTATATTCGCTAAATATAAAACTCATGCCTCCTGCAAAATACCTTTGGGATTTTAGTAAACAATTTAACCGTCTAATATAAAAATCTTGCCTCCGGCACTTAACTTTTAAGAATTTTACTATGACAATACTAAACAGTTTCAGTTCAGTCAGCTACCGCAGACTTGTCGTCAATTATTGAAAACAATAACTCCTCTTAAGGAATGTTTTTTAGGGACTTTACACTTCGATCGACAAACACGGGCTATCTGTAGGGCAAGATGTGCCGGAAATATTTGCTATAATAATTCTTCTAAAGGAAAGTTTATTTGGGACTCCACACTACAATCTCTAAACACTCTGTCGGACAAGTTGTACGGGAAACATTTTTCAAACATCATATTAGATTAATTTGCTATAAACATGTTTGTTATACATTTCTGACAACATTCTTAACCACCAAATATCAAAAACAAGCTTCCGGCACAATACTTTGAAGATCCTGCATTGTGGCTAACTAACTCTCCTTGCAGGCTATTATAGCTGCATCCGTAACTGTGGAAACTACTAGTGGCTGCGTTTTTCAATGCCTAGCCACTCTTACCTTACTCAATAAAAGCAATGATGTCGGCACTACAGATGGCAGACTGTTTTGTATGAACATCAAATAGGAGATGGCACTACATTGCCGGTTCCTTCCTTGCTTAGTGAAAATAGTACACTTATTTCATTGACTTGATAGCTATTGCTTACCTTGTAAACTGCATTTAATTAATTTATTAAAACCTGTAAAAGAACACTTCACAATTTGGTCACAAAATGTTGGTGACTGATTAGCTTTAACTTTCATTATTTCTTTTTTATTAAATTTAACACTTTTACTGTAACATTTCATGTTATTAAACGATTTACAACAAAAACATTGAGAATTTTTCACAAAAAATTAACTATTTTTACAATTTACACTTGTTGCACAATTTAAGATCCTTTTTTTGCATTCACTTGTATTTTTGCTGCATCATGTTCTGTCATAACGGTACTCTCACATACATAGATGCATTTTCTACATGAAGTGCTGCCAGATTTTGGGCATCACTTTAACTGCTTCTTCTTTTTAAAATTGTGTGTATCATCAAAATAATAACAAACAACAGCTGCTACGTTTTGTTTACATTCCCGCAAAAAAAAATCAAAACAAAAGAATAATGCAGGAAAATATAACAAATTTATTTAACTTACTGCCCAATTTAGATGATATTAATAACATTTGTTTAAAAGAAAAAGAAGCAAATTACATTTTAACGAAAGCTAGTACTGATTTACTAGCCAATACGCTGGATAAAGAAACTGCACAGGATGAGATTGAAGAAGCAACATATTTGGTGCAATCATTAATAGATAAATGTTGGGAACGTATACATACGGGACATTTTAGTGAAGTGCCACTGGAAATACGAAAAATCTATGCCTTAGCTTGTTACTTTAAGGTAGTTTTTCTCTTCCACTATATATTCATTCAAAAAAACATTAATTTTTATTTTCTTAGATATTGTTTTTACTAATTGAAAGTACAGATTCCCAGCAATTAGAAAAATGTAGTGTACTGTTAGATGATGCAATTTTGATAGGTTGTACGCAAGATATTTATGCCAAAAGTCAACAATTTAAAGATCTTCTAATAGAAATTTTGGACAAACAATTGGGTAAGAGGTTTAAAAGTATAAATATTATTATTTTTTTAATTTTTACATACCCACAGATCCCTGCCACGACTTAAAATTACTGATTATAGATAATCCCCCTAGACTCGATATCAACTGTGATATTTTACAACTCAACAAACCCTCGGTGCTAGATTTTCAACAGATATGTTTTGATAGACAACAACCTGCTCTACTACTCAATACATTTCAACATTGGCCTGCTCTCGAAAAATGGCGTGATTTAAATTATATACTCAGAATAGCTGGCAATCGTACTGTTCCTATAGAAATTGGTTCTAACTATGCCAACGATGAATGGTCACAACAATTAATGAAAATTAAAGATTTTTTAAAAAGACAATTTACCCACAACACTGAGCAGTCAACGGATGTAGAATATTTAGCTCAACATGAACTATTCGAACAAATTCCACAACTAAAAAAAGATTTCTCCATACCAGACTATTGTTCGGTAGGCAGCAGCAAAGAGGCAATTGATATTAAGGCTTGGTTGGGTCCCAAAGGCACCATATCTCCCCTGCACTATGATCCTAAACATAATTTACTTTGTCAGGTGTTTGGTTCGAAATCTATTATATTAGCTTCACCCGAAGATACGCCGAACTTATATCCTCACGAAGGAGAATTTTTACAAAATACTTCACAAATTGATGCTAAAAATTTAGATGTTAAAAAGTTTCCTCTTGCGGAAAAGGTGAAATTTTATTATTTGGCTTTACAGCCAGGTGATTGTTTGTATATGCCTCCGAAATGGTGGCATTATGTACAATCGAATAGTCCTAGTTTTTCAGTTAGTTTTTGGTGGGAGTGAAGAATAATAGCCAATAAAATCGTTTTACAAAAAATAGTTTTTTTGTATGTAGAATTATAGGGTATGTGGTTGGCTTTAATATTAAGCCTAGATTCTTGAATTGCTGTTAAATCACATCTTAGCAAGACCTTAATTCCCACTTATTTACCTACTACATACCTATTAGTATGTCCCCTCCTACGTAAAACGTCTATAATTATTTAATTTTGCTAATCTTTGCTTAGTAACGGTAAACTTTTTTGTAAAAGTGCTGCCAAGTTTGAGAGAAATCCATTTTGTATAAAACTTAGTTGTGTTGTTATTTGTCGAGAAACATGAATATTAAATATAACGCCATTTTCGCCATACTTACTATAAAGTTGTATTTAGTACCAATTTTTTTTAAGTTATACTAGATGTGGTTTAAATAAATAGATGGCATCTAACCTAGGGTTCTATAAATCGACTTTCGAATAATCGAACAATCGACTTTTTGTCGAAAAAAGTCGAAAAGTCGAAGTCGACTATTTTGTTCCAAAAAAGTCGATAACTCGACTATCGTCTATGAAAAAGTCGAAAAGTCGACTTTGTAAATAAAAGTCGAAAAAAGTCGAAAAGTCGGAAAGTCGAAAAAAGTCGATAAGTCGAAAAAAGTCGAAGAAAGTCGAAAAAAGTCGAAAAGTCGAAAAAAGTCGAAAAGTCGGAAAAAGTCGAAAAGTCGGAAAAAGTCGAAAAGTCGAAAAAAGTCGAAAAGTCGAAAATAGTCGAAAATTTTAAAAAAGTGGAAAAGAGGTCAAAAACTCTAAAATAGTCGGAAAAACTCGAAAAAAGTAAAAAATAGTCGAAAAAAAGTCGAAAAAAAGTCGAAATAAGTCGAAATAAGTCGAAAATAGTCAAAAAGTAGTAAAAAATCGAAAAGTCGAAAAGTCGAAAAAAGTCGAAAAGTTGAAAAAAGTCGGAAAAAGTCGAAAAAAGTCGAAAAGTCGAAAAAAGTCGAAAATTCGAAAAAAGTCGAAAAGTCGAAAAAAGTCGGAAAAAGTCGAAAAGTCGAAAAAAGTCGGAAAAAGTCGAAAAGTCGAAAAAGGTCGGAAAAAGTCGAAAAGTCGGAAAAAGTCGAAAAGTCGAAAAGTCGACCATTTATAAAATACTAAAAGTCGAAAAGTCTAAAAGTCGACTTTTAAATAAATGAAAAAGGTCGAAAAGTCGAAAAATCGACTTTTCATAAAATGGAAAAAGTCGAAAGGTCGAAAAGTCGACTTTTAACTAAATGCAAAAAGTCGAAAAGTCGAAAAGTCGACTTTTCGTTTCAACTATAGAACCCTAATCTAACCACGTTACCCTACAAGAAATGAATGACCGAAACTAACACATACAAAATTATTTTACTAACACACTTGTAGATTTTTTTAGAGAATTCTATAAAAAAAAATGTATAATTCCATCAACAATGACAGCCAAATGACCGGTAAAATGACCGACACTGTACCAAACGTGTGGTATAAGGTTGCATTTGCATACGCAAGAGTGAAACAACTATATTTTGATTAATATTTTATTAAAATTTATATTTCCATCAACAATGACAGTCAAATGACCGATCAAATGACTGTCACTGTGTTTCAGAGTTGTATTTTTCGTCGTTATAAATTCATTATTTCTGCGAAAGCCAAAGTTCAAGAAGCGAAAAATTAAAAAATTTACAAAGTCTATAAATTATTAAAAATAAAGAGAATTATTATAAACTGAATTTAATAAAAGTGCAGGAAGTGGAGCTGAAGATAAACACTTTGGAGTTTAATCAATCTATGATAACATGAATACTTACTTTTGATTTTTATATTTCGATATTTATATGTATTTCTTTACAGACAACTTATTTCCACAAATTAAAAGGAGAATCAGAGAATTTAAGATTCTGCGAGGTATGTAAAATGGTGAAATGATTGCTAATTTATGTATATGCTTACTATATTAACAAAATTAAAAAAAAATAGATATCTTAAAATATTAATAAATTGTGTTTTATTATAAATTGGTATAGCCGTCAGTTTTGACGGATATATTCATCAAGTATGATTATTCAACAATGACCGATTAATACATCATTTTTTATTTGTTAACTGTGATGGATATATCCATCAAGCATGATCAGTCAATCGTGACTAATATTTATATCATCCTTGATTACTAATCATCAAAAGAGTGAGCAGCTCAAATATATGTGTTAAAATCGATATAATTCATAAGTGCGAGTGTGATGAAAGATCACATGTACACAAAAGTTTCCATCAAGTTTTTCATATTGCCCTTAAGAACTTGATAGAAACTTTGTTCTACGCAATGATCGATATTTCCTTCAGTAGTGTCAGTCAAATGACCGGTCAAATGACTGTCACTGTTCTTGTAGGGTAGTTGTTCATAATTTTTAATATTTATAATCAATTTAATACTCTACTGAAAACCAAACCGGCTTGCAGCAGATTATTAACCGCCGCCGACATTCTTGGTGTCGAACGACGGCGCTAATATTTGAACCTAGAAACATGAAATTAAGCACGTAGAGCTCGGAGTAAGTGAGAACATATAAAATATTACTTTTTGGTACTTTATCGTTCTTCAACTGTTTTTTCTGTAATATTGAGACTCGAATCATAAAATCAAACTTATAGAGTTTGACTTTTTGATATTGCATTTTATTCCATTACGATGAGGGTAGCGAAGCACACTGTGTATAGCTAGTAAATTATAATTTAAATAGAAAAAGTACTTGAATTCAATCAATGAATTACAGTTTAATTTAAACCTTGAAGTATAATGTAATTTAAATCGAAAAAATCCTACTGATTTTTATGTATGTATATATGTCGGTATATAATAGATTCAAAATATTATATGCATTTATATTTATCTATGTATGTACGTCTGGTGGAACATATAGTTTATATGAAACAGACCAGACAGAAAAATAGTTATTTAATTTATTATAATAAAATTACATTCGATTTACTTTCTACTAGATTTGTGTACTCGGTTTTAAAACGAGAAAAATTATGCGAATTCGTTTTTAAACGAGAAATTTACTCGGATTCGGCTTACAGAACAGACATTACTATGTAATATTATTTTGCCCAAATTGGCTTTTTTTATTACTGAATAAATAAATAAATAAAATATCTTTGTTTTTACGTTATTGATCATTTTCTTAAAATTTTTTAGAAACTGAATTTCTGCAAGATGTTTTATATGGAGGATAGGGTCAAATATAGGCTGATCCTCGTAAAACTTGGAGAAAGGATTTGTTTTTAATTTCTAAGAATTTTTTATCCATCCCTGCATAATTTCTCACACAACTTTGGTGCTTGCTCTGTTTTGCTGTTATAAACAATATATTTGCTTCCAAAATCCCACTTTCTTATCTCTTGGATTCCGTTTTTATTTAAAATCGTTGAAAATTTAAAAACTAAACGTAATTGAAAACTTAGCCGGCTTACAGTCGTTTTTAAGCCGCCGCCTACATATTTAGTGTTAGTCGCCGCCGATGTTAATATTTGTCGGCGCAGGGCTCTGCAATCGGTTGATCAAATTAGAACAATTTGTTAAAAATAAAAAAGCATTAGAAATAAAACTACGAAATTAATATAAAACTTTAATTAAAACTAAATAAAGTATGAGTGTTGTGAATATTTATATTTGAAAACTTGAACAATTTAATTGAAACAAAGATAAAGTAAGAAAGAAAAAACAACCACCGTTTCCAATCTGAGGCGGCGCAGAAGATGAAAACTACTCGTTTCGAATAGAAAAGTTGTACACAAATTCTTAACAGAGGAAAAATTTTAGTTTTTCATGGAAATCTTTTAGTATCGATAAACAATTCAACTAGCAAAGAGTGAACAAGAGAAAATAATAACAAAGAACTGAATTAATTAAATATTTTTTTGCATTTATATATTAACATACAAAAAAAAAGTTAATTAAACCAATTAGCATAATAATATGGCTGAAGTACGCCGCAGAAAACCCGATGAGACTGGAGATGAGACAGAGAATTTGTCGGCAGGTGCCAGTAATACTACCGGAATAAATGATGCCGAAAAACGCAACTCCTCTGCTGCTGAATCCTCAGATCATGTAAGTGCCTTGTATATAATCTTTAGCAGTATGTTTGTATATCTTAAGAAACCCTATGAGGGTTTCATTTTTTATATTTCCATAAAAAAGAATTTGCATAACTTTCGTTTGCAAAAATATTTTAATTATACAAAAATGTCTATGTATAGATAAAATTTTGTAGTGGTCAAAGGTAAATATGTGAGTTTTTTCTCTGCTTATTGCATATAATTTCCATATTGTTGTGTATACAAATTTTAATCCAATTGTGAAAAGCGACGTCACGCGTAAAAAATAGACAACGGCAGCAAGTAAACAATACAGACAGAGAGAGAGAAAAAGAAACAACAACGAACAAATAAAATATATAAAAACAAATATGCAAAGAATAAAACCAGAGAATAGGAAAAAACAATCACTGCACAGTGCGCTGAGGAAGTGGATACGAAGAAATTAAACAGGTACCCTGCAGGAGAGTTCAGAATACATATATATTATTCCTTCAGAGAAACTTCAATAAATATAAATAAACTAAGAAGTTTTCTATAACTGAGTTGTAACTGAACTAGAACTGAACCAGCGTTCACTTTGAACTAGAACTGGACTAGAGTTCAATTCGAACTGAACTAGAAATAATCTAAAACTGAGCAAGAACTATTACCATTTCCTCGCCACCAAATAAATGTGAAAATTTGAAAAAGGTTTTCGCCACTCTCGCTTTATACCTATGTATTTATATTCTATATACCACCTCTTCAATAAAAAACAAACTCTCTAATCCAATTTTCAAAAACATCGATACACTGTGTGACAATAGAACAATAATAAAAGAAACGTAAACATAAATCTAATTAGTGAACAGTAATTGTAGGGAAAAAAGAAAAAATAGAAAAAAGCCCCTGAATGGCCAATATGCACATACATACATATGTATGTACATAGATAAACTCGTACCCATATCCATTGTAGATAATTTAATATCCATGACATTGTCATTAAACAAACATACAAATAGAAATACTTATTGGAATACTAAAGAGTAGTCTGCATCTTGCCTGTGTCTTCTTCATTGTTTATATCAACTTACCCTTGAATTTCTATTTTGAAATGACTTAATATCATTATCAACAACACGCTTAATATTTTCCTCTACAAGTATGTTTTGTTGTAAAGAACAAAATATTAAATCACATACTCAATGCATCCCAAAACTGTTACTTATTTAATAGTAAAAGGTTTCATTAGTATATAGGCAAAACAACAACATTGAAAATTTGCCAATATTGTTGGGGACTTAAGAATAACCAATACAAATCAATAATAATTTACCATAAAATATATTTTATGATTTGTTGCTAGATAAGAGGCTTGTTGCTTGCTCCTATACCGGCACCACTGGGGTTTTTTTGTCGTCATTGTCATTATTTACAATTACTATATATTAAAGAAAGAAATTAATATTCTTTTATTTTTTATAAGAAATAAGCACTATTTTGCTTCAAAGTTAATTTTTATAAATTTTAATTTTTGTTTAAATTGGTTTAGTATTTTATTCATGCCTACATATGTCCTCTTCAAACATTATAATCTTTTATATTTGGATTTGTTCTAATCTATAAACTATGTACATACTATTAAAGTTAATATTGTCTTTTGTTGTTATTTTTATTTCTAATAGTTCTTATCGTTTTTTGGCATTTATATTTAGTTTTAGTTTTTTTATTGCAATTTCTACCTAGACATAGCTTTCTTCATTTATGTGATGATAATTTTGTTTCCAAATACCATAGAGATTTAAAAGTGATTATTTATTTGTCATGGCAGAGCACCACGTTTTTTTTTTGCCCCTTATGACCAGCCAATTAAATAAATACACATATTAAAATAATATATTTTTTGTACCTAGTTCATTTTAGATTATTTGCAATTTAGGCAAATGAAGTAGTAAATACAGATTTAGTTTACACCATTTCTAAGAAAAATTGGAAGTGAGCTAGAACTGAAGTAGAACTGAATTAGAACTGTACTAGAACTGTACTAGAACTGAACTAGAACTGAACTAGAACTGAACTAGAACTGAACTAGAACTGAACTAGAACTGAACTAGAACTGAACTAGAACTGAACTAGAACTGAACTAGAACTGAACTAGAACTGAACTAGAACTGAACTAGAACTGAACTAGAACTGAACTAGACTACTGAACTAGAACTGAACTAGAACTGAACTAGAACTGAACTAGAACTGAACTAGAACTGAACTAGAACTGAACTAGAACTGAACTAGAACTGAACTAGAACTGAACTAGAACTGAACTAGAACTGAACTAGAACTGAACTAGAACTGAACTAGAACTGAACTAGAACTGAACTAGAACTGAACTAGAACTGAACTAGAACTGAACTAGAACTGAACTAGAACTGAACTAGAACTGAACTACTGAACTAGAACTGAACTAGAACTGAACTAGAACTGAACTAGAACTGAACTAGAACTGAACTAGAACTGAACTAGAACTGAACTAGAACTGAACTAGACTGAACTACAACTGAACTACAACTGAACTACAACTGAACTAGAAGTGAACTAGAAGTGAACTAGAAGTGAACTAGAAGTGAACTAGAAGTGAACTAGAACTGAACTAGAACTGAACTAGAACTGAACTAGAACTGAACTAGACTGAACTACAACTGAACTAGAACTGAACTAGAACTGAACTAGAACTGAACTAGAAGTGAACTAGAAGTGAACTAGAACTGAACTAGAACTGAACTAGAACTGAACTAGAACTGAACTAGAACTGAACTAGAACTGAACTAGAACTGAACTAGAACTGAACTAGAACTGAACTAGAACTGAACTAGAACTGAACTAGAACTGAACTAGAACTGAACTAGAACTGAACTAGAACTGAACTAGAACTGAACTAGAACTGAACTAGAACTGAACTAGAACTGAACTAGACTGAACTAGACTGAACTAGAACTGAACTAGAACTGAACTAGAACTGAACTAGAACTGAACTAGAACTGAAATAGAACTGAATTAGAACTGAACTAGAACTGAACTAGAACTGAACTAGAACTGAACTAGAAGTGAACTAGAACTGAACTAGAACTGAACTAGAACTGAACTAGAACTGAACTAGACTGAACTACAACTGAACTACAACTGAACTAGAACTGAACTAGAACTGAACTAGAACTGAACTAGAACTGAACTAGAACTGAACTAGAACTGAACTAGAACTGAACTAGAACTGAACTAGAACTGAACTAGAACTGAACTAGAACTAAACTAGAACTGAACTAGAACTGAACTAGAACTGAACTAGAACTGAACTAGAACTGAACTAGAACTGAACTAGAACTGAACTAGAACTGAACTAGAACTGAACTAGAACTGAACTAGAACTGAACTAGAACTGAACTAGAACTGAACTAGAACTGAACTAGAACTGAACTAGAACTGAACTAGAACTGAACTAGAACTGAACTAGAACTGAACTAGAACTGAACTAGAACTGAACTAGAACTGAACTAGAACCGAACTAGAACTGAACTAGTACTGAACTTGAACTGAACTAGAACTAGAAAATTTCTAGTAGAAATGAATTAGAACTGAATTAGAACTGAACTAGAACTGAATTAAAACTGAACTAGTAGTAAAGAACTAATGCTAAACTAAACTGAAATAGAACTGTACCAGAATCGTTAAATTTTCAAGAATTATACAACAAAAATTAAACTATATCCTTTTCTTATTTACTCGCAGGTTGATTCAGAAGAAGAAAAATTACCCGAAGAGAAATTTGTTGAAGAATTGGCCAAAACTTTACCACAGGGTACAGATAAAACACCAGAAATTTTGGATTCAGCTCTAAAGGATTTACCAGACAGGTAAGTAACAAGAACAACAACACAAAATGCCTCAAAATAAATAAATCTTACAGGTGTCTTTTATCATTTTGTTTGTAAATAATAAACTAATAAAAACATATAGTATGAACCATTAATACTATTAAATTAATGCTATTGTTGTTGGTAGCATTCTGTGTGTATTGAATTAATAATATGTATTATTTAAACAAAATAAATACAAAATATTGAAATTATTACTTTTTGTTTTTTAATTTCTGTTTGTGTCTATAATTAGATGGAAAAATTGGGTAATACGTGGTATTTTCACATGGATTATGATATGTGGATTTTGTTTAATTATCTATGGCGGCCCATTAGCATTAATGATTACGGTAAGACTATAAATACATAAGAGAATATATTTGTTTTCCGATTTTTTTATATATGACTAATTTAAAATTTATGTTAATTTTTGCTTACAGACCTTGCTAGTGCAAGTGAAATGTTTCCAAGAAATTATATCAATTGGTTATCAGGTATATCGTATACATGGATTACCCTGGTTCCGTAGTTTATCCTGGTATTTTCTCTTAACATCGAATTACTTTTTCTATGGTGAAAATTTGGTTGATTACTTTGGTGTGGCCATAAATCGTGTGGTAAGTAAAGGTTTTTCCGTTTTTTTTTCTGTTTGATATGAATTAATTTCTTAATGCTGTATTTTATTTATAGGGTTATTTAAAGTTTATGGTTACCTATCATCGTTTCCTTTCATTCGCTTTGTATTGCATTGGTTTCGTATGGTTTGTTTTGTCCTTGGTTAAGAAATACTATATGAAACAATTTAGTCTCTTCGCCTGGACTCATGTATCGCTGTTGATTGTTGTAACACAAAGTTATTTAATAATTCAGAACATTTTTGAAGGTGAGTTAGACAACTTGTTGTGTTTTTTTTTTTCAACAATAAAATTCTATATAAAATGTGTAATAATAACAATTGTAAACATTTACCAGGTTTAATATGGTTCATTGTACCCGTCTCCATGATTGTTTGCAATGATGTCATGGCCTACATGTTTGGTTTCTTCTTTGGCAAGACACCACTTATTAAGTTGAGTCCGAAAAAGACCTGGGAAGGTTTTATAGGTGGTGGTTTTGCTACCGTTTTGTTTGGCATCATTTTCTCATACATATTGTGTCATTATCAATATTTCATTTGTCCCATTGTCTACTCAGAGGAATTGGGTAGCATGTCTATGAGCTGTGAACCTGGTTATTTATTTACCGCACAGGATTATAGTTTGAGTGTGGTAAGTGTTTTTTTATACAATAAAATTAATTAAAAATTGTTGTTTTTATTATATTGTTGTTTTTCTCTTGTTTTTTAGTTTGGTATTGGCAAAAGTATTAAGGTAATACCATTTATTTGGCATTCAATTGCTTTAAGTTTGTTTAGTTCCATAATTGGTCCATTTGGAGGTTTCTTTGCTTCTGGTTTTAAGAGAGCATTTAAAATTAAGGTAATTTTTTCGGAAATATTTTACGATTTGAATTATATTGATTTATTTCTTGTTTTTTTTTTTTTTTTTTTTTTTTTAGGACTTTGGTGATATGATTCCTGGACATGGCGGTATTATGGATCGTTTCGATTGTCAATTTTTAATGGCCACATTTGTTAATGTTTATATTTCTAGTTTCATAAGAACTCCATCTCCTTCCAAATTATTAACACAGGTAAAATTCTTTATTTTAATAGAGGAAACTAACCACCGTAATCAGTATTTCGAACGCAAATTTAAGTTTTCTTGAACATCGATATTTTTATAGAAAATTTATATTTTCTTAGAAATGGAAATTTTCATGGAAATTGGAAATTTTCATAGAAATTGGAAATTTTCATAGAAATTGGAAATTTTCATAGAAAATAGAAATCTTTATAGAAATTGCAAATTTTGAAAATTTGGAAATTTTCTTAGAAGATTAAAATTTTTATAAAAAATTAAAATTTTCATAGAAAAATGGAAATTTTCATAGAAAGTGGAATTTTCATAAAAAGTCTATATTTTTTTCAGAAATGTTTGTTAAGACATTGTTTGATTTTTAATTTTTGTTAAGACATTAAAACATAAATTTCCAAAGAAATTTTTTTAAGACATAAATTTCAAAAAATTTGGCAGATATCTATAGACATTTTTGTTAAGACATAAATTTGTCAAGAAATTTTCGTTAAGACATAAATTTTTATAGAAATCTAAAGAATTTTTTGTTAAGACATAAATTTTCTATAGAAATTTTTGTTAAAACATTAATCTTCTATAGAAATTTTTGTTAAGACATACATTTTCTATAGAAATTTTTGTTAAGACATGAACTCCAAAAGAAATTTGTGTTTATATAGAAATTTCTGCTAAGACATTATTTCTGTTAAGAATTTGTTATAGAAAATTCTATTACAAGAAAAATTTTCAAAGAGACATCTGTTAAGACATACATTTCTATAGAAATTTCTGCCAAGACATTAATTTCTAAAGAAACTTGTGTTAAAATATTAATTTCTAAAGAAATTTCTGACAAAAATTTCTAAATAAATTTATTTTAAGACAAATTTCTAAAGAAATTTTTATTAAGACATAAATTTCAAAAAATATGACAGATATTTTTGTTAAGATATAAATTTGTCAAGAAATTTTCGTTAAGACATAAATTATTCTAGAAATCAAAGAAATTTATGCTAAGACATAAATTTTTTATAGAAATGTTTGTTAAAACTTAAATTTTCTATAGAAATTTTTGTTAAGACATAATTTTTTTTATAGAAATTTTTGTTAAGACATGAATTCCAAAAGAAAATTGTGTTTATATAGAAATTTCTGTCAAGACATTATTTCTGTTAAGAATTTGTTATAGAAAATTCTATTACAGGAAAGATTTCTAAAGAGAGATCTGTTAAGACATACATTTCTATAGAAATTTCTGCCAAGATTGTGTTAAAATATTGATTTCTAAAGAAATTTCTGTTAAGACATAAATTTCTATAGAAAATTGTATTAAGACAAAAATTTCAAAATAAATTTATTTTAAGACAAATTACTAAAAAAATTAAGACATAAATTTCAAAAACTATGACAGATATCTATAGACATTTTTGTTATGACATAAATTTGTCAAGAAATTTTCGTTAAGACATAAATTTTTATAGAAATCTAAAGAAATTTTTGTTAAGACATATATTTTTTATAGAAATTTTTGTTAAGACATAAATTTTCTATAGAAATTTTTGTTAAGACATGAACTCCAAAAGAAATTTTTGTTTATATAGAAATTTCTATTAAGACATTATTTCTGTTAAGAATTTGTTATAGAAAATTCGATTAAAAGAGAGATTTCAAAAAAGAGATCTGTTAAGACATAAATTTCTGTAAAAAATTGTATTAAGACAAAAATTTCTAAATAAATTTATTTTAACACAAATTTCTAAAGAAATTTGTATTAAGACTTAAACTTCTAAAGAAATATTTGGTAAGACATAAACTTCTATAGAAATTTTGTGTTAAGACATATATTTGTATAGAAATAAATTTCTAAAGATAATTATGTTAAGATATACATTTTTATTTTGTTGAGACATAAATTTGTAAAGTGTTAAGACAAGCATTTTTATATTCAGACATAAATTTAATTGTTAAGATATAAATTTCTATAGACATTTGTGTTAAGACATACATTTTTGAATGAATTTGAGTTAAGACCTAAATTTCTAAAGAAGTTTGCTATATGTTTGCAAACAAATTTTTGTTAAGTCATAAAATTGTATTGAAATTTGTGTTATGCCATTCATTTCTATAGAAATTTGCATTAAACATAAATTTCTAAAATAATTTTCAAAAAAAATTGTTTAAGATATAAAATTAATAAAGACATTTTTGTTAAGTCTTAAATTTCTATAGAAATTTGTGTTAAGATATAAATATCTCTATAAATTATAAATCTCTAAAGAAGTTTATGTTTAGACATAAATTTTTACAAAAATTTGTGTTGTGATATACATTTCTGAAGAAATTTTGGTTAGGACTGCATTTCTGAAGAAATTTGTGTTAAGAAATAAATTGCTAAAGAAATTTCTAAAGATATTTGTGTTAAGTCATATATCTTCAAAAAAGTTTCTATAGAAATTTCCAAAGAAGTTTTGGTAAAGAAATAAATTTCTAGACATTTCTGTTAAGTCTTAAATATCTAATAAAAAAGTATTGTTAAGACATAAATTTAAGTAAACATTTGTGTTAAAACATATATTTCTAAAGAAATATTTGTTATGATACAAATTTTTATATAAATTTGGGTAAAAACATCAATATTTTTTTTAAATTTATAAATTTATGTTGACATAAATTTCTAAAGAATTTTATGTTAAGACATATATTTATCAAGATTTTTTATTTTATATGTTCTTAACACATATAATGATAAAAATGTTATACAAATTTAAGTTAAGACATACATTTCTTTAGAAATTTTTGTTAAGACATAAATTATATTAATTTAAAAATAATTAGAGACTTTAATATAATCTTAATCTTGTTTGTTTATGTAATTTTAATTTATTTTACTTATATTTATTAATTCTTTTCATTACATTTTCAGATTTACAATCTTAAACCCGAACAACAAATGCAAATCTTTCAATCACTTAAAGAATCACTTGGTGACATGTTAAATTAAGAGATTTTTGTGAACAACAAGAATAACAACTATATTAACAAACATACCTATCTCTCGTCCTTTTTAATCCTATATCTCGTTCGTTCTTTAGAATAATCGACTACAAAGAATTTTATTGTATGAATGCAGAGCGTTTTTTTTTTTTTTTTTGTTTATTTTATTTTTTTCTTTTGCTGTTTGATTTTGTATGAAGAGTAATATTTAAAGTAATTTTAAAAAATAATAATTTAATACAATTCTAGCCGAAGTTATTAGCTTTAGTTAATTTTAAAATAGTTCTCTTTTACATAATATCAATGTTTTAGATTAAAATAATTATTAATTTTTAATATTACAATTATTATTTTGTTGTAATTTATTAAATAAAAATAATTTACATAATTTTTATGTACCAAACTAAACTAAACATCCTGGCAAACAACACTTTAGTAAGAAAACAAAGTCAAAGTCAGATAAAGAGAGTCAAACTTATTTTTTTGTAATGAATTTTAATATAGAATTTATTTATTAAATAAACATAAAATAAAAGAAAAACTCTTTTGAGTTTTTTTTTTTTTTTTTTTTATTTAAAGCAAAAAATTAAAAAGCATATTCCATTTAAATTAATAAAAATTAAATATTTACATTCAAATTTTTTGTTTACATAAACGAAATATTTAAATAAATATTAAACAAAAAATATAAATTTTTTTAAGTTTTATTACAATAAGTTAATTAAGAAATTATAATGCTTGAAATAATAACAATTTTAAGGCTTTATGTACCAAATAAATAATAATATGATTTAAATTAATTAAAAATTTCACTGATTTCTGAAATATATTTCTTTTGTTTTAAGTTTTTTTGTTTTTACTAAATTTATAAAGTTTTTAATATTTAAGGGATTTTGTAAAACCTTTAAATTGTTATTATTATTTTTAAATACATATTTAAGAATCGGTTTAAATATTACTACTTTTAAAAATTACAAAACTTTTCAAACAAAACAAATTGATAGAATTTAAAAAGTGAAGATATAGAAATCTATATCTTAAGATGTATTTCTATAGAAATTTTTGTCATACGATAAATTTCTATAAAAATATATCTTGACAAGATTATCTATATAAATTTGTTGGTTTTGACGCAATACATACATTTTTGAATGAATTTGAGTTAAGACCTAAATTTCTAAAGAAGTTTGCTATATGTTTGCAAACAAATTTTTGTTAAGTCATAAAATTGTATTGAAATTTGTGTTATGCCATTCATTTCTATAGAAATTTGCATTAAACATAAATTTCTAAAATAATTTTCAAAAAAAATTGTTTAAGATATAAAATTAATAAAGACATTTTTGTTAAGTCTTAAATTTCTATAGAAATTTGTGTTAAGATATAAATATCTCTATAAATTATAAATCTCTAAAGAAGTTTATGTTTAGACATAAATTTTTACAAAAATTTGTGTTGTGATATACATTTCTGAAGAAATTTTGGTTAGGACTGCATTTCTGAAGAAATTTGTGTTAAGAAATAAATTGCTAAAGAAATTTCTAAAGATATTTGTGTTAAGTCATATATCTTCAAAAAAGTTTCTATAGAAATTTCCAAAGAAGTTTTGGTAAAGAAATAAATTTCTAGACATTTCTGTTAAGTCTTAAATATCTAATAAAAAAGTATTGTTAAGACATAAATTTAAGTAAACATTTGTGTTAAAACATATATTTCTAAAGAAATATTTGTTATGATACAAATTTTTATATAAATTTGGGTAAAAACATCAATATTTTTTTTAAATTTATAAATTTATGTTGACATAAATTTCTAAAGAATTTTATGTTAAGACATATATTTATCAAGATTTTTTATTTTATATGTTCTTAACACATATAATGATAAAAATGTTATACAAATTTAAGTTAAGACATACATTTCTTTAGAAATTTTTGTTAAGACATAAATTATATTAATTTAAAAATAATTAGAGACTTTAATATAATCTTAATCTTGTTTGTTTATGTAATTTTAATTTATTTTACTTATATTTATTAATTCTTTTCATTACATTTTCAGATTTACAATCTTAAACCCGAACAACAAATGCAAATCTTTCAATCACTTAAAGAATCACTTGGTGACATGTTAAATTAAGAGATTTTTGTGAACAACAAGAATAACAACTATATTAACAAACATACCTATCTCTCGTCCTTTTTAATCCTATATCTCGTTCGTTCTTTAGAATAATCGACTACAAAGAATTTTATTGTATGAATGCAGAGCGTTTTTTTTTTTTTTTTTTTGTTTATTTTATTTTTTTCTTTTGCTGTTTGATTTTGTATGAAGAGTAATATTTAAAGTAATTTTAAAAAATAATAATTTAATACAATTCTAGCCGAAGTTATTAGCTTTAGTTAATTTTAAAATAGTTCTCTTTTACATAATATCAATGTTTTAGATTAAAATAATTATTAATTTTTAATATTACAATTATTATTTTGTTGTAATTTATTAAATAAAAATAATTTACATAATTTTTATGTACCAAACTAAACTAAACATCCTGGCAAACAACACTTTAGTAAGAAAACAAAGTCAAAGTCAGATAAAGAGAGTCAAACTTATTTTTTTGTAATGAATTTTAATATAGAATTTATTTATTAAATAAACATAAAATAAAAGAAAAACTCTTTTGAGTTTTTTTTTTTTTTTTTTTTATTTAAAGCAAAAAATTAAAAAGCATATTCCATTTAAATTAATAAAAATTAAATATTTACATTCAAATTTTTTGTTTACATAAACGAAATATTTAAATAAATATTAAACAAAAAATATAAATTTTTTTAAGTTTTATTACAATAAGTTAATTAAGAAATTATAATGCTTGAAATAATAACAATTTTAAGGCTTTATGTACCAAATAAATAATAATATGATTTAAATTAATTAAAAATTTCACTGATTTCTGAAATATATTTCTTTTGTTTTAAGTTTTTTTGTTTTTACTAAATTTATAAAGTTTTTAATATTTAAGGGATTTTGTAAAACCTTTAAATTGTTATTATTATTTTTAAATACATATTTAAGAATCGGTTTAAATATTACTACTTTTAAAAATTACAAAACTTTTCAAACAAAACAAATTGATAGAATTTAAAAAGTGAAGATATAGAAATCTATGTCTTAAGATGTATTTCTATAGAAATTTTTGTCATACGATAAATTTCTATAAAAATATATCTTGACAAGATTATCTATATAAATTTGTAGGTTTTGACGCAAACTTTTATGGAAATTTGTATGTCTTTATACAATTTTTTTTCTCTTGACAAAAACTTCTATAGACATTTGATATAAATTTGTGATGTCTTTGCAAAATTTTCAATTGAATGTTTTATGTCTTAACATAAATGTCTAGAAATTTAAGTCTTGATGTCTTTAGATAGATTTTATAGTAATATATATCTTGACAAAAAATTCTATAGAAACTTGTACATTTTGACCTAAAATTTTATAGAAATATATGTCGTGACATAAATTCCTATAGAATTGTATGTCTAGACACCAAATTCTTTAGAAATTCTTGTCTTGAAATAAATTTGTAAAGAAATGTCTAAAGACAAATTTTTGTATTAACAGAAATGTATATGGATATTTTAATGTCTTGACATATATTTTTACAGAAATTTATGTATTGACATAAATTTCATGTCTTGACAAACAATTTCTGTAGAATTTTGTATGTGTTGAAATAAACTTTTATAGAAATTTATGCCTTGATAAAAATTTGTATAGAAATGTATATCTTGAGACAAATTTCTTTAAAAATTCAAGTCTTGAAACAAATTTGTATAGAAATTTATGTCTTGACATAAAAAATTGATCACTTACGATACATCTCTATAGGAATTTACATCTTGACAAACATTTCCGTAGAATTTTGTATGTGTTGATACAAACCTTTTTTTTCTATAGACATTTATGTCGTGACATAAATTTCTATAGAAATTTATGTCTAAATAAAATTTTTTATGTTTTGACACAAATTTCTATTTATATAAAGGTAATATGTATTAAAAATATTGAGCAATATTTATTTTTCATAAATAGAAAGAAACATATTTTATTTTAAAGTGCAATACAGTTTTTTTATTTTAGAATTTGAAATAGAATAAAAATATATATATTTTTTTATAAAAATAAATCTAATGCAAATAATAAAAAGTAGAAATTTGCATATTAAGCAGTTTTTAAAAATTGTTATTAAACATAAAAGTGTTAAAACTTAACTGAAAAATTATCTTAATGACGGTAATTGTTTTTCAAAACTATAATACACTTTAAAAAATTAAATTTTAAAACACATACTTGTTCTTCTCTAAACTACTACACACCATCCCCCCTAAATCTTCTAAATACATGTGGTTATAAATTACATATATCTCATTATTAGTCCTATAGTCTATAATGTTGAAATCGAAAAGAATAGAATAAAATGATTAAAAATTAAAACTAATAATAAATAATTAAATATAGCATAATTTATGATTGAGATTTGTAATTTGAATTTATAAATTTGTTGAGAATAAACATTGAGCTAAACAAAAAAAAAAAGCAAATAAAGGGAATAAAAAAGGATTAAATTTATATATAAAACGTATGGATATATTTTATCAAGATATATTATTTTAAATGACGAAATAAGAAACAACTTTTTGTGTAATTTAAATATGTATGTATGTATACATAAAAACAGTGAAGTCTATAAATAAATTATTTAAATGTAAAATAACAAAAAATACTTTGTTTTAATACTTCTCAAAGGGTTAAGACAAGCATCTCAATAGAAAATTATTTCATATTTATTTAAAATTTTTATAAATATTCTAGGCTATTACTACGAACCTCTCAGTTTTAAATTAACGCATAACATTTAATAACAATGTTGCCCAATCGTTAAATAGCCAATGTAATGCTTGCAAACAAAAAGAAACAATCTGGCCATCTTTTAAGTTTGTTTTTTATTTCAAGCGTCAAAGTACGTTGACAGCTAAAATGGAGTAAGCGTTGCCAACGTATTGATTGGAACAAATCTTTCGCATACAGCTTTTCTACGACGCTAAATTCTTTTACGCAAAGAAAGTATTTTATGGGTACTAAAGAAATATACTACAAATAAAAAAACGAATTTATATTATTAAAATAAACCCAACAATATCATGGAAGAAAGATTGATAGAGGCCATACGTAAAAGGCCCTTTATATTTGACAAACAATCGTTGATGTATCGCAATAAATTGGCAAGAGAAAAAGCCTGGAAATCAGTTTCTCAAGTGGTAGGAGTAAGTGGTAAGTGTTAATAAAATTACATGTATTTAAGTAGGTGTTTATATGCGTTAACTACTTTGCATAGTAAAACAATGTATGGCACGTTGGCGTTCTCTGCGCGATCGTTATGTGCGTGAAATAGCAAAAGCCAAAGATCCGGATTCAGTGGGCAGACCAACTTGGCGTTATATGAAACAGTTGTCATTTATTGAACAGCATGTTAAACCAAAAAGGTATAAAAAGTTTTACAAGCAAATTGTAAATATGCAAGTCATTTACATGGATTTTTGTATTTTAGACGACTTTCTTATTTGGATCATACCGCTGAGGCGGATGCTCAAGATCCGGGTGAATTTATTTTTTCCGAAATAGTTAAAGACTCAAAACCGGGTGAATTTCAAATAGAGATTAAACGACCCGATCCGGTTGTAAATTATGAAAATGAATGCGATGAGGAGGACATACTACCCATGTTGCAGCAGGTGGGCCGCGTTGAGACACCACCTCCTAGACCGGATACCCCACCAAAGAAACGTCAAAAAATGCAAGAAAATGCTCAAGAACGTTTTGAGAAACTGTGTTCGGCGGTTACCGATTTAATCGAAAGTAAAAAACAATCATATAAAAAGAGTCGTAATGAAGATTTTTTAAAAGTATTGGATGGTTATTTACTAAAACTTCCCGAGGAAGAGCAGGATGATTTAAAAATACGTATTTTGAATATGGTACATGTAAATCCTTTGGAATAAGTTAGAAAACATAGGCTTGTTCATATGTAAAGAAATTAGTCTGAAATATAAAAATCGTAATTTTAACTAAAAAGTTTTGGAAAAAAAAGGAAATTATTTAAGGATCCTCTTTAATTTAAGATTGTATTGTTGTTGCTGGGGTTCACAGCCCTTGGCCGATTGTTGCAGTCGGCTATGTCACTATCTATACGCTTCATCATAGTGTATTTTAATAAAAAATATATTTTTTAAAAATTATTTTTAAATCTTTTATTTTATTTTTACTAAAAACGTATGGACAATACAAAACGACAGATAGCAAGTACGAATTCAGAATATGTACATAAGTATGTATATTTCGAAGATGAAGGGTATCGAAAACAAAAAACTTATTCAATTCATTTCATCATTCATTACAAAATCTGAATTATTATCTATTAGCTGCTGAACTGCATTTAGATAGTACTTTAGATTATCCCTGGTATCGAAAGCTTTCTGTTTGGCATTATTCGATCCTATGCGACCAATACTTTGTAAAGGTTTTTTAACTTGTTGACGCCATACACCCTCTATTATATCTTCACCTTCAAAGGCATCAACATAACCGGGAGGAGAATATGTTTCGTCGTGAGTCTTAAGAAAATTATGCAATAAAACTGTAGCCTTAACGATTAGTTCGGCGGTCTTCGGACTCATGTGCAGAGGAGACTGCAATATCTTCCAATGAGCGATTAAAACGCCAAAAGCATTTTCGGCAACACTCTGGGCTTTTTCCAAATGTTGATTAAAAATTACGCTGTCTGGTGTTAGTTGAGTTCCTATTTAGAATTTAAAAGCAAAGAAAATATTAATTTTGTTTGGATGTATCCCTCAACTTACCAGCATAAGGTCTCATTAGATAAGTTTTAAGGGGAAATGATGAGTGTCCTATCATATAATAGGGACAATTTATATCAGAATTTGGTAGCAGTTCCTTATTGGGTAAGTTCAATTTTCCACTAATTAACTCTTTATAAAACTCTAAATTCCAAGTTGTAGCATCAGTTTCTTTGTTATAAACACCAATGTCTATGTTAGTGAAAACTTGATTGGCGTCACAGACTGCTAGCAGAACAAGAGATTGTTTGCTTTTAATTTTTTGCTAATCGCAGTATGGTTTTGGTCTGCTTGTTAAACTAATAAGTTTTGCATCGATAGCTCCAACACAATGTGGCAAATTCCATGCCTCCCAAAATTCATCAGCCATACGTAAGCATTCGTAACCCATTGGAGGACAGACATAAACAGAGCGCAATGTTTTCCATATAATATCGCAGGTATCCGTTATAATACGCTTAACAGTGGTCAAAACCCATTTTAAATTTTTCGCTAAGCATTTGTCGGTTACCACCTTGAGACAGGTAACTTTAGGAATAGTTAAGTTTTTTATATTTCACTTTTTTTAGAATTGATGAAAAAACACTTACGTTAGTGTTAGAAACAGACGACACTTTGGCGTTATAGAGGGACGATTTGAGTTTTTCGTTAAAGCCTCTTCTAGAAAACCGAACAGTATATCAAACGTTTCCTGGCTCATGCCGGTAATCTGTTTAAAATGTGCTGTATTCCTCTTATAGATTCTATTAAAGTGTACAGCAAAAAATCCTTTTGTATCACGATCTTGATATTCTGGCTTCACCCAGTAACGACGACCGGCCATTTCATTGAGACAGTCACGTGCCTCCTTGAGCATGGTAACCATTGAAAGTATATCTAACATATCATCGTCAACTTCCATTTTATAATTAATAAATAATAATTAAATTTTGTCTATATTTTTTTATGATGGAAATATTATTGTTTGTTTACATTTGGCCAGTTGTTGACGTAAGTGTTGCCAACTTTTGTTAAATCTGTAGGACTTGCCAAATTTATTTCAGTTTTCCCCAGTAGGTAAAATCATGATTAGGGTTCTATAAATCGACTTTCGAATAATCGAACAATCGACCTTTTGTCGAAAAAGTCGAAAAGTCGAAGTCGACTATTTGTTCCAAAAAGTCCATAACTCGACTATCGTCTATGAAAAAAGTCGTCTTTGTAAATAAAAGTCGAAAAAAGTCGAAAAATCGGAAAGTAGAAAAGTCGAAAAAAGTCGATAAGTCGAAAAAAGTCGAAGAAAGTCGAAAAGTCGAAAAAAGTCGAAAAAAAGTCGATAAGTCGAAAAAAGTCGAAAAGTCGGAAAAAGTCGAAAAGTCGAAAATAGTCGAAAATTTTAAAAAAGTGGAAAAGAGGTCAAAAACTCTAAAATAGTCGGAAAAACTCAAAAAAAGTAAAAAATAGTCGAAAAAAAGTCGAAATAAGTCGAAAATAGTCAAAAAGTCGTAAAAAATCGAAAAGTCGGAAAAAGTCGGAAAAAGTCGAAAAAAGTCGGAAAAAGTCGAAAAAGTCGAAAAAGTCGGAAAAAGTCGAAAAAAGTCGAAAAGTCGGAAAAAGTCGAAAAGTCGACCATTTATATAATACTAAAAGTCGAAAAGTCTAAAAGTCGACTTTTAAATAAATGAAAAAGGTCGAAAAGTCGAAAAATCGACTTTTCATAAAATGGAAAAAGTCGAAAGGTCGACTTTTAACTAATGCAAAAAGTCGAAAAGTCGACTTTTCGTTTCAACTATAGAACCCTAATCATGATGTTCAGTGCCGATAGTCTTTATGTAGTCCAGTCTAGACCAGTGTACACTGGTCTGTTGTCGTCTCTATAGAATAAAGAGTAGTCGATAGTAAAGTCTATTCTATGGTCTAGTTATAGTCTAGTCTGTAGTCTAGGCAATTGTCTAGTCTATAGTATATGTAGTCTATATTCTCTTCTATAGTCTACTCTATATTCAATTCTTAAGATCACACACGAACACATCTTTTAACACCCAACCAAAAAAATTACTATTTCTCTTTGTCCAGTATATTTATGGACAAATCACTTAGTGGTAGCTAAATTTTTAAATTCTATCCCAAATTATTTAAGATATTTTGTTAATTTTAATAGTTTTATTAAAAAATAGCAAAATACTTTTAAACAAAAACTGAACTTTTTCACGATCATAAGCATTTTAAATGTACAAATTTGTAATTTACATTTTGTAGTTATTTTAATCGATATACTAATTTCCAGAACCTTTTAGAAAACTTACTTTTATACCTATTTTAAATACTTAAAATCGTGAATATAAATCTTAAATTTAATAAACTAAAATCATATTTTATCGAAAAATTTCTGTTATTTTTCAATTTGGAGTAATTTAATTAATTTAAAAAGAAATAACCTCATACTTAAAGTATAAAATGTTTGGATCGTTCCGAAATTTAAAACAAAACAAAAAAATAATAATTCATTTCTTATGAGTTTAATATTATCACAAAAATCTTAATGTAATAATGTATGTATAAAAATAGTTCAATATTAAAAAAAAACTAATTTTGGGAAGGACTTTAAACCAATAAGTATTAAAAAGCAAAAATTTGAATTGTGTACTATACTTGGGAAACGTATGTTTACACTGTAAAAAATAATATAAATTTTTCAAATTCTCAATTTTAATTGAAAATTTCAAGCCCCTGAGGAAGCATAGTTTGTAGAAGATTTAATTTTATAATAATAATAATATATATACGTATAACTCCTATCAAAAATCAATGATTTTGATTTTTTAACTTAATTTTATCAATAACATTTGTTTGTATGTCCGCTATACAATTTGCACTGATTTCATGATACAACTTACGTTCACGGGCACTTTCCAACAGGCAACGCCAAGCAGGTACAGTCTATTATAAAGATATAGAATATTTAATAAATAAAAATAATTATTGATTAGATTAAAAAAGAATTACCTCCAGATTTTTAAAATTTCCACATAAAATAAGACATTTTTTGGAGCGTGTTAAGGCCACATTTAAACGTTGTGGATTAGAGAGAAAGCCAATGCCATGTGTACGGGCATTTGATATAATAATAACATCTTTCTCCAAACCCTGATACGAGTCAATGGTATTCACCATTATGTTTGTTAAACCCAATGCTCTGCAATTGATAAAAATATAAAATTATATTAGATTCCTTAAATAGAACTACGACTGATTATAGTAAAGTTTAAAAACTTACCTTATAGATGATTCTAAAGTGGCACGATGATGTGCATACGGTGTTATAACACCATAACTATTATATTTATTTGGTATAAAACCATCTAAAGCCTTTAAAAGTTTAGCTACAAATTCCGCCTCTAAATTATTAGTAATTTTACCATTGCTGGAAGAGTTATGCTGTGTATAGGCTAAATTTAAAATGCTAAACGGTACGAGTGGCGTTTTCGTAATATCTATTGTTGATTTTCCATTTATCAATTCATTTCGATAGAAATATTGATTTGGCCAACGGCAAATTTCCGGATGCATACGATATTGTGTTTGTAAACTACAAATTATATTATTGGGTGTAGTTACGGGCTGATTAGCAACCTTTGCACTCGCACTGGGTATATTATCCAGACAATGTTGAATGCGTGTAAACATTGAAGTGCCTAGACCTAATTCATTGGCTTTCTAAAAGTTTGAAAGAATTTAGATGAACACATTCAGTTTGCTTTTATTTGTAAGTCGTACCTTTGATAATACTGTAGCTGGTAACTGTTGGGTATCCCCCACTAACACTAATGAGTTAATGCCAAATTTCAAAGGCAAAAGAGTCCAAGGTTTCAGTGCATTGTGTTGCTTCATCAATTATGCAAATATCGAAGAAATTTATGAATCTAAAAGATATTTATAAAATTTAATTTCATTAGTCTAGTCTATAATCTAGTCTATAGTCTAGTCTAGTCTATGTCTATAATCTAGTCTATAGTCTAGTCTATAGTCTAGTCTATAGTCTAGTCTATAGTCTAGTCTATAGTCTAGTCTATAGTCTAGTCTATAGTCTAGTCTATAGTCTAGTCTAGTCTATAGTCTAGTCTAGTCTATAGTCTAGTCTATAGTCTAGTCTATAGTCTAGTCTATAGTCTAGTCTATAGTCTAGTCTATAGTCTAGTCTATAGTCTAGTCTATAGTCTAGTCTATAGTCTAGTCTATAGTCTAGTCTATAGTCTAGTCTATAGTCTAGTCTATAGTCCTAGTCTATAGTCTAGTCTATAGTCTAGTCTATAGTCTAGTCTATAGTCTAGTCTATAGTCTAGTCTATAGTCTAGTCTACAGTCTAGTCTATAGTCTAGTCTATAGTCTAGTCTATAGTCTAG